ACTGAGAGGAAGGGGGAAAATCAAACAGACAAAATCCCCTCAACCTCCTGAGTCAAGTGCATTAGCGTGACTGAAGACAAGGATCAACAGCTGATCCCGGTTCCCACTGAAGAGTTGTTCAGAGGGGTGGGGTGGGAGATGACCCCTGACTTTTCACCTTTCTCACAAGTCGGATCTTGCAACCAGGGCTTCGAACCCATTCTTTCTGGTTGGAACACTTGCTGAAAATGTGAATTTCTAACCGGATCCCAGGCGATGCTAATGCTGCTGGTTCTGGACCACTTCTGAGACCCACTAGTAGAAGAGTGGTTCTCAGACTTTATGATACGTAAGAATCACCTGGAGACCTTGTGAAACTGTAGATTCTGATTCAGTATATCTGGGGTGGAAATGCAGATTCTCAGCAGGGGTTCAAACTGGAATGAACTGCTTGAAAGCCCTGCTTGCAACCCTGGGGAAGGGGATTATGAGAGACAGACAGTGACTAGGGCAGTGTGGCGTGGTGGAGAGCGTGTGGGTTTTGAGTCAGTCCTGAGTTCAAAGGCAGCTCCCTCACTATCTCTGTGCACTCGAGCACCTTAACCCATCTGACCTTCAGTTCCACCAGCTGAGATGCCTGCCTACCTTACAGGGTTGGTGTGAGGACTGCCTAAGAAAGCGTTTGTAAAGCTGCTGACAGAGAATGGGCACTCAGTGAGTGGTATTTGTCTTCTCTCTGCTACAGGCAACCCCTGTGTTACCAATGAGATCCGTTCCTGAGTCTACCTTTAAGTCGAATTTGTAGGTACACGGGAACAAGTACCTATGGTTCTTATTTAGCCTTATTTTAGAGCAAGAAAGGAGCCCTGGTGGTGCAGTGGTTAAGCACTCCGCTGCGAACCAAAAGGTCGGGGGTTCGAGCCCACCAGCCACTTCGCGGGAGAAAGGTGCGGCAGTCTGCTTGTGTAAAGATTACAGCCTTGGAAACCCTATGGGGCAGTTCTGCTCTGTCCTATAGGATTGCTGTGAGTCGGAATCGACTTGACAAGCAGGGGGTTTGGTTTTGGGCTTTTAGTGCAAGAAAAGTCTCGAAGCCTTTTCTGTGACGTAAAAGCTGCACACGCGGCAAGTGAAGGTGGTTGTGATGAAGAGCTTGTTGCGAGGAGGACTTAGTTCAGTCATCCCAAAAGGGGGGCAAATGGACATAACATTAAAGAACAAGGTGAAGTTGCCGTCGGTCCCACACTCGGAACCAGGGGGTTGCGGTCCTGTCCTCCTCTGTCACAGTCTTCATTGGATTGTCCCATCACGTGGTGCCGTACATCCCCGCACACACACCACAGCACGCCTGTCCCTGACTGCGCGCACACACGCAACAGCCTGTACAGCCGCCGCTGAGCTAACGGCAGCCTTCCCGGAAAGTAGACGGGACTGGCTTGCTGCTGATGGGACAAGCTGTGGACGTGCTCACCACGGTAAGCTCCTGACATTAACCTGCTCCGGCCCACGGAGGTACTCTGGAGAGGCTGTGAAAGGAGAATAAGGGGTTAAAAGAAAAAAAAAAAAAAGAACCGAAAAACCAAACCCGTTGCCATCGAGTTAATTCTGACTCATGGAGACCCCATATGTTACAGAGTCGAACTGCTGTATAGGATTTTATTGGCTATAAAAACGGTTTGCACGCAACTGTTAAGCAAAGGTTGGCAGTTCTAATCCACCCAGAAGCACTGTGGAAGAAAGGCTCGGCGATCTGCTTCCGGAAAGATTCCAGCCAAGAGAACCCTATGGAGCAGTTCTACTCCGTAATGCGTGGGGTCACCATGAGTCAGTATCAACTCCACGGCAATGGGTTTTTTAACCTTTACAGAAGCAGATGACCGGGCCTTTCCTCTGTGGCGCCGCCGGGTAGGTTTGAACTGCAGTCTGTAGGTTAGCTGTTGCTGTTAGGGCGCCGTTGAGTCGGTTCCGAGTCCGAGTGACCCTCTGTACAACAGAATGAAATGCTCCCCGGCTCCCGCGCCATCCTCACAGTCGTTGTTTGAGCCCATTGTTGCAGCCACTGTGTCAATCCATCTCGTGGAGGCTCTTCTTCTGTTTTGCTCATCCTCTACTTTACCAAGCACAATGTCCTCCAGGGACAGGTCCCTCCTGATAACATGTCCTAAGTATGTGAGACAAACTCTCATCATCCTTGCTTCTAAGGAGCATTCTGGCTGTACTTCTTCCAAGATAGATTTATTAGTGCTTCTGGCAGTCCAGGGTATATTCAATATTCTTCGCCAACACCGTAATTCAAAGGCATCTGTTCTTCGGTCTTTCTTGTCCATTGTCCAGCTTTCATATGCGTACGAGGCAATTGAAAACACCACGGCTTTCATACATTCCACGTTCCAATTAGTAATGGACGTTTGCACCTGTTTCTTCTCACGCTGAGTCATGCCACATAAGCAAATGAAGGTCCCCAAAACTTTACTTCATCCACGTCCTTAAGGTCAACTCTGCTTCGAAGAGGCAGCTCTTCCCCAGTTGTATTTTGAACACCTTCCAACCTAAGGGGCTCATCTTCTGAATCAGGCAGCGTTCCACTGCCATTCATAAGGTTTTCACTGGCCAGTTTTTTTTAGAAGTCGATCACCAGGTCTTTGTTCCTAGTCTATCTTAGTCTGGAAGCTGCGCTGAAACCCTTCCACCGTGGATGACCCTGCTGGTATTTGAAATACCAGTGGCATAGCTTCCAGCATCACAATGACAGACAAGTCACCACAGCAGGACAGACTGACAGACGCGTGGTGGTACTCAAGCACAAACCATTTTGGAGTGGGGGCGGAGGGTGACTCTACAGCTCCTTCTCTGAGGTTGGGTGCACTTTTTTCGTAGGAGGTGCTTTGCCAACCTCTGCCAGGGACCCCGAGTCTGTGCCCAGGGTTGGAGTGTCTGAAGCTACACTGTCCAATATAGCAGTCCTTGGCTACATGTCACTATTGAGCGCTGGAGAGGTAGCTCATGAGGCTGAGGGATGGAGATTGTGATTAACTTCACCTTAATTTAAAATTTAAAGCTGATATTTGGTTCTGTTATTGGAAAACTTTTAAGTATGTTTGGAACAACTTGGGGCTGTGACTCTACTTTTTCAACTGTAAATTGTATGAAATTTAAATACAGATCAGGTATTTCTGGTGGAAGTCTAGTGACCGAACTGAGAGGTGCTGTCAATGTAAATTATACAGTGGGTTTCAAAGACTTAGTATGAAAAAAAGAATGTAAAATAGTTCAGTAGTAATCTTACCAGATTGGTAACATGTTGAAATGATAATGGTTTCGAGCCATTGAGTTAAATAAAAGATGTTGTTAAAATTCATTGTCCTTGTTTCTTTTTTACTTTTCTAACGTGGCTATACTAGATAATTGGAAATGACATATGTGACTTGCGCTGGATTTCAACTGGACGGCACTGCGCTGGAGACTTTGGGGGGCGAGCAGCAGCATCTCCCTGCTAGAGACTGTCATCTGCTCCCCACTGCCTCGGGCCTTCCTGGAGAACATTTCTCAAACAGCAGTGCTACTCCCACCCTTATCTGCATTGCAGAGGGGGCATCTGGAGAATCCCTAGCACCCGACCTTATCAGCTGCTGGTGGAAGATTCTGGAGTGGAGAGGAGAGGGTTGAGACTGAAGCTGTGGCCAAGAAACCTTTCTGGCACCTTCTGAAATGGAGAGGGGGATGTTGCTGGGATGCCAGCTGAACTGTGTGTGCTTGTGTGTGAGGTGAGGGGTTGGAGGCTCAGGGGTGCCCATTTCTCAGGGGTACCGTTGTCTCCCGCCTCTCCCTCCCAACTGCCGGCTTCTCACATTCGCCTCCAGCCCAGCCCCGGCCATCTTCCCATCCCTGTCCCCCTAATGAGATTGTCTGCGGGTGAAGTCCGGCCTCCCCTCCTCCGTGGTGCCGGCTCAGGACAGTTCGAGCTGGGAATCTTCTAACGAGCGGAGTCTCCTCCCAGCAAGGACAATCGCAGTAGGTGTATTGTTTGGTGTAGGTGGGTGGGAGCTCTCGAGGGTGGAGGGGAACTAAGGACGCGGGGCAGACGGTGCTGCAGAGAGAGACGGGCTCCCCAGGGCCACGTGATTCTCCACTTCTCGCCCCTGCTGCCTGCTTCTTCCCTGGTCCCTTTACTCCTCCCCTTCTGACGCGGAGCTCTCAGCATCTCTCCTTTTTCCTGCCTCGGCTCTGCCCTGTTTTTGAGGCACACTCTGTGGCAGTCAGCAGCTCCACCTCCCGTCCCGCCTCCCATCTACGGGCTCTTGAGACAGCAACCTCTATCCAGAGACAGCTTCCCACTGGGGCTGCACTAAACACAGAGCAAGGGGAAACTGCAGAAGGCTGGTGGAAATGACCTAGGCAGGCAGTTCTTCCCTCCACTTTTTACTACAGCTTAGTGGGCCCTCCCTCATTCCGCCAAGCCTGGTCGCTGCTGGAGTCCTGGTCTCTTGCCTTTGACAGCAGCAGCTTCTTGCTTTGGGTGGTCATTTTCAAGCGTTCCCTTCTTGCTTTCCCCCAAGGGGACTAGGAGCTGCGCAAGGGAATGGTAAGGCGATCCTGTCAATAAACCACAATGATGGGGGAGGAGCTGGGGGTCCTAGGCTGGGATTTCTGCCTGGGGATCCCCTGTGAGGCAGAGATCTGTCCTTCCCCAGCTCCAGAGATGGGGGTGTGGTGGGGAAGAGGGTTGAGACTGAAGCTGGGGCTTGGGGTGCTGATGTCTCCAGGCACAGTGGAGCTCCTTTTTCACAAACCGCCGTTTATCAGGCAAGAAGGCCATTGGGATCCATGGTCAGTGAGCAGGCAAAAAAGGTAGGAAGGGGAAGATTTGACAGACACCAGGGGCGGAAATAGACCAAAGTAAAGAAAGCTCCAGAGATCACGTTAGTTCTGGCTGCACTAGCATGGCCTTTGGCAGCAGGTTTAATGATCTGAAAGACAGAGGCAGGTGCGGAGGCTCGTGCAGACGGTGCCAGAGTGCAGGCTGTCCTCCCCACCCCGCACGCCCATCCTCTGCTTACTCTTAGGGATCTGGGCTCTAGTTCCTAGTACCTGGGGCAGAAAAGACGGGGAGTCAGTCTGGTGGAGGGAAGAGCAGAGACTCAAAGAAGCCAGTAAGTAGCGGTCCCTCTGAAGTAACCTTGTAACAGTAGTTGGCAACTGTTAGTAGTTATTAAAGGCCGTAAGGGTGTGAAGAAGCCTCGTGGTTAGACCAGCAGACTAGAGCCTGGGTGCCTCGGTTATGTTTTCTCTCTGTGTGTGTGTATGTGTGTGGTGTAGAGGTGGGCAATGGATGCGGAGGGCTGGGCTGATGACAGGGTCTATGATATCTTCAGCAACCTGGAGCTCTCGGGGAAGAGATGACAATATTGTCCCAGTACTCCACCAGGAGTCACCGTTACTTGCTGGCACAGTGCAGGCGGGAGGTGATGGAGATCTGTGTTGCTTGGGACTAAGTTCTAGTCCAAGTAGCCTTGGTTCTGTCTTGACCGGGCCCCCAGTGTGGAAGGAAAGGTCAGAAGAGCTTGGCAGTGACCCGGTTACCTCCAGGGTTCTTATCCCCAGAGGGCCGGGGTGCCACAAAGTCAAAGGTCACGTGGTGTTTGACCCGGCCCTTGCCCTTGCTCCAGAGGGCGATGAGGCCGAAGCAGAGAGTCACTGAGATAAGGAATGGGAGGAAGCCTACGGCCAGCACCACAGCCACACCTCTGCTATCCAGAAAGAAAAGCGCCGGGACCCCTGGCATGGTGACGTTGGGGTTGGAGAGAGTGCCATTTGGTGGTTCAACCTGGATTACCTCCAGCCAGGTCCTCAGGGAGTCATTACCAGCCACGTTGCTGACCACGCACACGTAGGCCCCTCTGTCCCGCAGCTGCACTGAACGGATCGCCAGGGTCCCGTCCTCTAGGACCCTTACCCTCCCAGCCCTTCCCAGCCAAGCCCCCTGAGGCCTCCTCCAGGCGACAGTGGGGGCCGGGTCTCCGTCTCCGGAGCAGGAGAAAACGGCCTGCGCCCCCTCCTCCGCAATGACCCATCGGGGCCCGGACTTCCGGATCAGGGCGGGTTTGCAGGTGAAGTGTCCCGGAGGTAGGATGTCTGAGAACTCACGCAGGCTCTTCCCCTGGACGTGCTGAGGGCCGGCACAGGCAGGCGGGGCCCTGCCGAAGTCCAGGCGGCGGCGCCGGCGCAGCAGCCAGAGGAGGCGACAGTCACAGGTCAGGGGGTTGCCAGACAGCCGCAGGGTGACCAGGTTGTCTGGAGAAGGGAAGGCTGTTTCTTCGAGTGTCTGAAGGGCATTATCCTCCACGTCCAGGAGGTGGAAGGCTGTCAAGCCGTGGAAGGCGTGAGCGGCGATGGAGGTGAGGCACGCCCCCGACAGCCGGAGCTCCTGGAGCCGCACCAGGGGGCTGAGCCTGCGGGCTGGGATGGCCGAGATGGGGTTCTGAGACAGATCCAGGACCCTGAGGAAGCTCAGGTGGTGCAGCGCTTGAAAGGGTACCAAGCTCAGGTTGCAGCGGGTGATGGCCAAGTGGGTGAGGTTCAGCCCCATCAGACTCCCAGGCTCCAGAGCCTCCAGGGACGGCCAGTGGTGGATCTCCAGCTCCTTCAGCTGGCCCAGCCCCCGGAGCACCCCCACTGGCAGCCTCCCGATGTCCAGTTCCCGAAGCCTCAGGGCCACTAGCCGCGGGAGACGGGCAAGGGCCAGGCCAGGCACTGTACTGAGGTTGCAGCGTTCCAGGGTCAGGGTGCCCAGCCTGGCCAGCCCTGCAAAGGCCCCCGGGGCCACAAACACCAGGTGGTTGTCCCCGACCTCCAGCTGCTGGAGGCTGCCTAGCTCCCCAAAAGCTCCATCCAGGAAGAGGACGATCTGGTTGAGGCGGAGGTCCAGCAGGGTGAGGGCAGACAGGCCTGAGAAGACCCCCGGCCCCACGATTCGGAGCCGATTGCCCTGCAGCCTCAGCGTGAGTAGGCTTTGTAGGCCCCGGAAGGCCCCGGGCTCGAGGGTGGAGAGCTGGTTGTAGCTGAGGTCCAGTTCCCGCAGTAGGCCCAGGCGGGAGAGCATCCCCTGCTGAAGCCCCCACAGGCGATTCCCACTCAGGTCCAGCAGCTCCGTGTCCAGCGGGAAGCCCCCGGGGACTGCCTCCAGTCGCCTGTGGGCACAGAGCACAGCCCGGGGCTGGGAGGCACAGTCACACACGGAGGGGCAGCTGCCACAGCCCCCTGCTGGCAGAAGGAGCAGGAACAGGAGGGGGCGCCATGGGGGCCAGGCTTGCTTGGGAGCTGTGGACACATCCATCCTGTCTTCAGTCCTGGAATAGATGACGACACGGCCCTGTTTGGAAAGTGACTTCAGATGCTGGTAACCCTGGACTCAGAGGAGGGAGAGACTGGCCTGTCCATCTCAGCATTGCCAGCAAGTGGGCACGGGAGCAGACAGAGTGCTGGTACACCAACCAGCTATGGCCTCCTGGGGCTCCTCCTTGGGGAAGCTCAACTCTCCTCCCCCTTCCAGCCCTGGGTAGCATCCCAAGTGCTTACTAGCTCTCAGAGCCATAGCCAAGCCAGCTTACTATGGGGAAAGTTTTATGGGAATGGGACAGGAAGTGGCAGGGAAGTGACTGAGTCTCCCTGTAATGGGTTTTCCCCTATGTCTGTGGGATCCAGAAATACCTCAGGTCCTTTCTCCCTGACATCTCTTCTCCCCAAGCTCCGCTCTCTCTCTGCTCATCCTTGTTCCCATATTACTCAGTGTGCAGTGTGAATATTGCATTGCCGTGTCTACCCACAGCTTTGCTTAAGGTTTGGGGCTTCATGGCCTGCACCCTGAGCTTGTCCTGATTGCAGAGAAGCTTTCACCTTCACTAAGTCATCCAAGGCTGGAAACATGCATGCCTGAGCTTGGTCCCCTCCATGCCCCCCAATCTCCACTTACTGCCTCTCTGCCCTCCTCCAGCTTGGCCCAGGGCCCAAGGCCCTGGACTAGCAAGATCCAATCTCCCCAGAATGCCTGTATGGATGGTGGACAAGCTGCACATTAGCCACAGCAGAGGACGCAGGGGGACTTGACTGGGAAGCTGGGAATCCCTCACCAGAGCCCCGAAGCCACAGCCCCAAGGGCAACCCCTTCTTCCCTACAGATGAAGGAGGAGGTGTGTGAGGGACCCAAGAGGTGCCAAAGCTTTGAGCTTTGTTACTGGGTTCTCAGGCTTCTCTTAGATCCCTTGCTAATGGAGTTTTGATTCAAGCCCTGTGTTTGAGTCCCAGGGAGCTCCCTGGTCCCCTCTGGTCTCAGCTATGTTGTGAACCAAGGAGGCAGAGAGAAGTAAGGAGAGGCAGTACCTAGGCCAGATGCTGGCAGGTGGGGAGGAAGGGGCCCTTGGCTGGCACGGCAGGTATCTGGGCACAGGCAGTCTGCAGAGCCTGTCGACTTAAAGCTGCTTTCTGGGTACCAGGAGCCAGGCAGTATCAGGAAGATGGTGACCAGGATGAACACTGGTACTGAGGTGGTGGGGGGAGTCCTATCCATAGCGAGGGTCCCTCATCTCACCCTGTTCACTGCCAGAGGGGCCTTAAGAGGGAAAAGATTGTCATTGGCAGGGAATGGCCACAGAGACAGGCACACAGGCCAACCGATGATCCCTGATGATCCCGGGGAGGGTGTCTCCCCAGCTGCGGATCCTGACCGCCTTGGGGCAGAACTCAACATTGTCAAGCTTTCTGGGCCCTACAGGCTCAGCTTTCTACAATCTGCCCTCCCCACTCTGTACTTGGGAGAGGCAGTTTAAAGGACACGGTGACTCCTTCCCCTTTCCTTCCCACTCCACACCCTCCTCTAGAAGGATTGTTCTGGCTGCTATCCTATAGCCACTTCAGAGAACTCTGAAAAAAAAAAAACACACCAAAAACCCAAACCCATTGCTGTCGGGTCAGTTCCAACTCATAGAGACCCTATAGGACAGAGTAGAAGGTTTCCAAGAAGCGGCTGGTGGATTTGAACTGCCGGCCTTTTGGGTAGCAGCCATAACTCCTAACCACTAGGCCACCAGGAATTCTCAGAGGACTCTAGTAGTTGGGAAATTGAAGAAAGAGGCCAAAAGAGCAGAGAGAGGGATAGAGAGTTGAGCCCATGGAAATCGTCCTCAGGTTGGAGATGAGAAAGGATGGCAAGGGACACAGGCTGCGGGCCAGATTCCTCTTGCCCCTCTCCAGCTGAACAAGTGTTTGGAGCATGCTGAGAGCTCCCGGGGTGAGAAGTGCCCCAGCTCCCTCATTCTCCCTGCTGAGAGTTCCCGGGGTGAGAAG